AAACACATGAACCGTTCTGGTTTGTACATAATTGTCTCTTCTAAGAGACAATTATGTCTTTCCTCCTGTTAATAATTACAATAACCGTCTTTAGTTGCCTTAAGAGGCACTTTCAAGTTCAGACATAATCTGACTTTCTAGTTCATAGCATTTTACGTGGACTTTTCGGTCACCAAGCCGAAATTAAGTATAAATCCATGTATATATTAATTATAACTTCTTGGCTTATAATACAAGAAAAGGCCTTCAGTTTCTCTATGAAGGCCTCTCATCTTATCAACTGTGTTGTAAATATTGGGTCGTATTTTGGACAAATAAATAGAACCGGAGCTAAGCATGATGTTCACTGTCATGGCAGTTACCAATGCGTAAAGTTTTCGACCTTGTGAATAAAATAAATCTCACTTTTACTTGCTCTTTAAAGTACACCCTGACCACATTTGGAATTAGAGCCTGTTATTTAGTACAACACGAAACTCAGGTTCGTAATTAAATATGCCCACAGTCACTTCCCCTGATGGAAATGTTCTAGGTGCAAAGGATCTACTGGTTCTAGGTCGGACCAAAAGGTCTAGGTGAATTGACCCCTAGACCCTTTGGTACGAGTGCGGCATGAATAAACATCTGGACGGTATTCCGTGCGTTGACTGGGGGAGGTTACAAGCCTTCATCAAAATCGATGGTCGACCACACAAACAGAAGCTCTCCCCCCAAAAAACCCTGCGCTTGTAACCTCCCCCAGTCAACTCACGGAATACCACCTAGATATGCATTCACGCCGCACTCGTACCAAAGGGTCTAGGGGTCTATTCTCCTAGACCCTTTGGTTCGAACTAGGAACAGTAGATTCTTTGCACCTAGAACATTGTCATCAGGGTCAGACACAAGAACTTTCATTTGTACATAGGAAAATCTAAATTCTATTGCTCCTGATACATAATTTTTATCTTTCTAGATTTTCCGACCTTTCTTATATGTTTTTATCTCTATTTTGTATTCCAGTACCTTTAGTTTACACAGTACCTCTCCAACAGTTAGTACTCGGGTTTGCCTTCCCTTGTTTATCAACTCACTACAACCATCTTTCTAACTTGGTTTTAACTATGCACTTTCAAACTCTGTTTAGATTTTTACTCTTTGCAAAATATTTCTGGAAATTAGCTCTCTGTTTTATAGTCAAAATATTTGTTACTACATCTTTATCTTCTCTGCCTGTCTTATAAAGGCATTCGTCAATGCTCTATTTAATTGGACTAATTTTTTACGAATAATGTGTAGCCGACCTGCGCTTTATGCTTAATATTTTTGTATATACGTTACTTTCGGCATGCAAATGAATTCTAAAGTAGTTTAGAACTCCAATCTACAATGAATACTTCATTTTGCTTATTTTTGAGCCGAAAGTTTAGACTATTTGTTTTACTACACCTCATATTTTAACTTCAGTGATCGAATCTGCGTTCTTTGCAAGTCCACTTTTCCTGTCCTAAACTAATTATGACGAAAATCCGTAATACACGTGGAATATAAAATACAGGAAGAAACTCCAGCATAGACAAAGCGAGACCGCAACAGTCCCTTTTAGATTATTAGTAATCGAACTCACTCTCTGAATGACATGGATAATATGCTTATGTAGAGAATATTTTCTGCCGAAGAAATTTCAGACATATGAAGGAAGAGGATGTATACATTATGCTATGACTATTATGTTTTCAGGTGATAAAAAGGTGCACGGATTTACTATAATCCTTACTCATGAATGAAGATTTGAATACACTATAGTGTCACGTAAAAGATACTGACTAATGACTTGCGGACATTTGTGTTACGAACGGCCATTCCGAACGTAATTTATCAGTAAGCTCAGGAGCGTCTGGATGTTATTTTATCTAAAAATATATTCTACATTTTGGCCATTAAATATTATATCCTCTAACATTGTCCCGATTCCTTATTGGTAGATGACAGTTTGAGTTCACATTTAACACATGATATTTAATTTTTACTTTAAGTCTTTTTGCTTTCGATAACACTTAATAGATCGTTTCGACAAAATACTCAATCGTCAATGTTAATTTTGAACCTTAGAGTCATTTTCCACTTGTTATAATAACGTGCATGCATTCTACACATTGTTTAAACACAGTATGTCAGTTTAAAGGCGAATTTTATTCCTTCGTACCTCTAAGACTAAAATTCAGATAAAGAATGTGAAGGATTGTGAAACCCGTTCCATACATCACAAAACCCGGCGAAGAATAAGTTTACTACCAAAATTTTATTTTGCGTTCACTTCAACCAGGGAAAAGCGGTTCTAAAATCCAGTGTCTCCGATATTCATCGGCCTTTCCCGATGAGCGCCCACACATTTATCCCCGTACAGTCACACTTATCTTAAAATTATGACATGATTCGTAGCTGTTCTACTATAGCAATGTGTTTTACATAGTCAGTAAATTGCAATATCGTAAGGGTCTGTCAAGGCAAGCAGTGCGCTAAGAAAGACCCAGATGATGCAACTGTTCACAAACAACTCCCGGAGTCCTAGTTACTTGACGTAAACATAATTAAGCATCTTCTTTCATATTAAGCAGTATAACTGACTATTGAGGAGCTGAAAGTGTCCTCGCACACTACCCATCTTTTGTCGTTTTTATTGTTTCCTTTCAGTGAACTCTTGAACCGCCTGCAAAACTCAAGTGCTTCAAGGTTTTCTTAAGTTAGCTGGATATTAATTCTTACTTAAGATCAAAACATGTACCTTGACCTGAGACCGTATTCGAATACAATACGGCTTTTCTTAGTGAGTTATGAGAAGGCATTTTTAATGGATTAGCATACGAGTATAAGAGAGGAAGTGGCCCCACTACTCCTACTATGATCTAATTCTCTTACTTGCTGTCAGTGTGTGTCTTTGTTTCCAAGATATTTACCAGTTAAGACATTTGATTTAATATTTTTTAATCATTATCTAAAGTTGATTCAAAACTTTTTCTGAGCTTGAACATGCTTGCTCGTAATTTTAGTTCAAGGAGACACATACCGTTTTCATTTCCAATTTTGGATCAAATTCCACTTATAAAAAGCAGGTTTTTGAACCACTTGTATTTGTGTGAACTATATATTTAATAATGCTCATAATCGGCACTATAAAATAACTCAAATGTGTTCTTGCAGGTGTTTGAAATAGCTTTGTGGTGGAAACTACGTTTCTTGTTCAGTGTCTTTACTATTAAGTCCCCGAGTAGTAATGGAAATGACCGATTTCTGTAATTAACTTTTATGCAATTATTTCTTCAAACTGTACGTTTTCTAGTTTTTTTGTCAGAGCTGAACTCACAGTAAATACTTGTAAACTTATTTCTTTTCCTAACCCCTTGAAGTGTTCTCACTTTTTTATAGTTTTGGCATCTTCTTAATACACATGAGTTTACTCATATGTTTCAGTCCTAAAATTCTTTATTGAAAAAAATATTTATATAAATTTCTCATGATTTTAAACTAGGAAAAGTTTCCATCCACCCGCATATAAATATTTGGAACCCACAAGCAAGCCTAAACATGATTAGCACTGTATTTCTTTCAGAAGGACAAAGTTCGATCGCTGGGACAACATGTTTGCTTGACGTTTCGACATCCGTCACGTACTCCTCATCAAAGGCATGAGCAGAAGGTAATAGCAATAATTGCGTTCATGCACGACAGATAGGCCCATAGAATAAGGGAAATGTTTTCGAACTTCGCGAATACTTTCGTTCTTACTGTCAGCGTGGATAAGCCATGTTTATAAGTTGACCAGTTAACTGGATTTCAGAGATGTTTAGAAGAGCATATAGCCGCCAAAGTTTTTAAAACTTGTCATACAACGGGGAACATGGCACAAAGACTGAGTAGCAACAATTGTTTTATACGAGTTTGTGGATTGCACCGGCAGAAAGTAAAGTAATACAAAAATAAGTTCAGAACGATATACGGGATTTTAAAAAATCGAGATTAAAATGTTGGTTAAGCCAAACCCGAGAGGATGTGAAGCATAAAAATTATAGGCTAGCCTCGAGAAAATGTAACCAAGCATCGATATGTACATACATCATAAGTGTATGGTAGTGAACACCGAAGAGACTTCAAATATTCTCATTGACGCTGGACACAACATTGAAGTAATAGCTCTAGCGACAGTATATAACGCTTGGGTGAAAAACGATCCAAAGAGAGGTTAAATACATACCTTGTCAATAGTTATTAGCAAAAATAATATATACGGTCATTATATTAACTTTTTTCAATGCAACATACTGCAAAGCCCTACGAGAAACAAAAACAAGCCAGATCGCTAAGATAAACCTCGAGTAAAAACATCTACTTAAAAAGGTAAAATGTTGAGACTAATTATCTGTCAACAATAGTCACAGTTCGCGATTTAAAAAAGAGCAAGCTCCAGCAGACATTTAAGAAGGAAACGCGATTGCTGAAACATGGCTTGATTTTCCTATGTTTTTGGTTTAACGCACAATCACCTGGCCAGAATCACTACGAGAAAAGAGTAATGAATATGGTGGTTATTTGTTAATTTAAGTATGCAGTTGCTATGCTAGTATATCGGTTGAGCTACGCGTTCGGTCTTTGGCCAGAATTGAGCACCTAATTCAACACTAAGTGTCGGCACTCCCAGTTCACGGATCACGTGCATTACAACCAAAGGTCAAACACGATACAGTAAAGTAATTCATGCTGGACAAGGACATAATTACGTCCCCTACGGACTGAAGACCGTAGACCGTCGTATTGGGCGAGAAGGGCTACCATCAGTAGAGAGATTAAGAAACGGTGTTAGTCCAAATGCATAGCCTTTTATAAATGCAGAAAGAGGACACATTTTCTATGTATCTTTCATATAACTCTCAGAGCACGTTGCCAAATTCTAACATATTGCGTTTTTCCGCTAACTCGATTCTCAGTTTTCTGGCCATTCGGTATACATCGGAATTTAATGCAAGATGTTCGGTTTGTGACGTGTATGACCATGTATTCTGCCCATCTTAAAATGGCAATTTTTTCACACTAGATTGTATGCTGATCAAATCCAAGGCTAGCCCTCGAAAAGAACTATTACCTTGTGCCGCTAACTCAAGGCATGGATGGATGGCCAATCTTGTTGCAAATAACTACAGTCTCTGGAGAGATTTTTACGCCTTTTTTCTTTCTAGTGGAGGTATTTACGTTTTTGTACAAGACCGAGTACTATCCTTATCCGGTGCCTAGACTGTTGGCCGACATCCTACTTCTCCTTGTCCTAATCACTATGGATTTCATCAAGAATGCTATCTCTTCACGTGGTAACCGTCAACGAGTTCTCTTCCTCCTCTACGTTTCTATCTTACTTTCTCTTGTCGTCATCGGCTTGACTGTCTGGCTGCTCCTTGGCCAAGCCTATACCCTATTTTATGAAATGGTTCTCGGCGTACTCGGCGGTGTTTTATGGCTTTTACAAATCCTCTTTTCTATTCTGGTTCTTTATGCATACACAAAAGGCTCAAAATGATTGATTTTCACATCTTTGAAAGTTTGTTTTATGACTTGCTCTGAGTACACAACAGATGGTCAGGCTTTATTAAGCTTTGACTCTTTGGAACGATTAGAGGGAAACGAGCATCTATATAAAAAATCCCCAGGGCGATCTACCGAGGTCCTTATTAAGTACTCTGCTATTCAGTATAGGTAATCGGCAACAGGGGTCGATTATCGAAAAAAGCTCACTTTAGTATAGAAATGCGGGGCAAGACCTGACTTTGATTTGTTGCTTTATTTGATTGTAATGGCGAATACAGCATTTATTCAAAAATTAACGGGACTTTTGGCCCACATTTCGCACATGTACATGAAACCTTGGCCCAGTTTGGCATATACTAGCTGGGATCTATAAGTTCAACCAAAATGCCAAAGAGGATGCACTTTAAGGCAATTCGAATAGCAATTACTGAGAAGTAGAAGCCGGGTGGTTCAATGCTGAAGAAAGTTGGTAAAGTCAGGAGGCTCTCGCTGTTGAGACGTAAATTGTAATTAATAGCTTTTGTATTAGCGTTGAGGTGTTCAATTGTGTCTACGTTACCAATCGCTTGCGCACAATCTAAAACCACTGAAATGGGAAATTTATATACAAAATTTGAAGAAAGTGTTATGCGAATTCCTACTGGATGACCAAATATAACTCGTTTTGGTCAGATGTCATTAAAACTAAAGAATAATTCGAGTTTGGTCTCTGTCATGTTGCTATTTTCATGGTCCCCCGCAGCCAGTGGCTTCTGGACCAGCGAACAGAATGGCATTTGACACTACCAAGCCCTCATATACAGGGGAATTGTGTTCTTTAAATGGCAGACTTAAATAGCCATTTCATAGTTAGTAACGAACATCATGAATCCTCGTGATTTTCTATACGAATGGAGGTATTGTGGGCCTCTGGCAACATCGTTTAACGTGTCCACCCTGTCTCCGATTTGCGGATATGTCCCATTGCGTATGCTGCAGCGTGGTGTCGGCCAGGTGAGCGGCCTTGCGTTTTGACTTTAGATCATGATGCCGGGAAGTTGAAATCGCCGCTAGTATACATAGAAATTGCATTAGGCGAAAATGGTGGGCGTAATTAGCTCTGACAAATGTTTAGAACTCGAATATGTCTCCTGCACACTAACATTTAGTGCGGAAGATACACCTTAAAGTGCTGAGAGCAATGAAAATATTTTTGAATGAAATGCTGAACGAAAGTAATAAATCAAGGAAACCTACTGCTGGCCATGTAATAGAGTAGGCAGGAATAGTAGATGCTGTGTTCTCCTGAATTATTCCATTCAGCGTAAACGAAGTGTGAAACAAATCCAAGCGCCTGCATTCCGATGAGTATAATTTGAAGGTAGTACGTGAGTACTGAGTCCGTCCAAGACCATGCAAATTGTTGCACTGTGTATAAAAGCAACAGAATTTGCAAATAAAAGTAAAATTTCAGTTTATTTTCTGGACATCCATTAAAATGTGATAGTAGTAACCGCGTAACCATTCGAAAAGACTGCACAGAAATCGAAGTCTAAATTGTCAGCGCAAATGTCACTGGTTTATTGGAGGTTTAAATGCTTTAATTACCATGAATACATCGGTCAAACATCCGCAAACTGGTGTCATATTTAGAAATGGGTTTGCATATTGAAATGAATAAAACATAAAAAATGGACCTACTATATGCATTAATGAAGTGCTTGTCCCTCTTCGATCCCTTCTCCTTGGAGTGATAAAAGTCAAAAAGCGCGTCTAAATCCTCCTGAAAGTTGCTCAAATATCCCTTTTTTGTGACTTTGTCAAAGGCGTAACTTCCATTATTCTGTTTGGTGTTGGTCTTTTCTATCTTAACCCAGGGGATGCTGTTATAACCGATAACAGTCAGTGTAAAATTGGTGAAAATTATTAGAGCTACGGCGGTTTTATAGAGGAAACGGTCGTGATTCACTCTATCTACCCTTCTTGCCGTCTTCAACATTGGGAATGGCGCTTCCCACGGTGTCTTCGGTGTCGTTTAAACATATATCGATTTTCATTCGTATAAATTTGAAATCAGGCATCCCAAGAAATGTAATTAGAAGAAAAGGCGTTCTTTGAGACACAAGGCAAATTTATTTAGTAAATTTTCGAGACTGGTTCCCCAGCTCGTTTTCAGACTAGGGAGGATGTACAACGAACAATTAAAATTTCAGACGTGCAGAAAAAATCACCTATCATGTGGAGGGAGCGCTGATTGGCAACTGCGATTTATGTCAGTCCGTATTCCTCGAATCTCGTCTCTTCCACCGTTCTTTGAGATGTTTGTATATTTCATCCAACTCTATATCGGAATTATCGGAATGCATGGCCTCAAGAAATTATTAGCCTTTTTGGAGGGGCAAACTCCGACTATGCGTATTTTATCCTATGTGAATCTTTGTTCTGTATCAAGGCTATGCATAGCCACTTCGGATAAATCGTCACGTCTCTTTACTGTCAGTTGGTGCTCATGAATGCGCATGGAGAGGGACCTTCCTGTTTGGCCACAGTATGCGGTATCACAAGCTTCGCATGGGATCTTGTAAACGACTTCTTTCTTACCGAGATAACCAAACCTATCCTTAGGGTGTACAAGCCGGGCACGTAAAGTGGTCATCGGTTTGTGCGCCACTTTTACTTTTTTTCCTTAAGTGCCTTTCAACGAGTTCGGACACATTCTTATATAAGTGAGGATTCGCCATGTATTTGTTTGTGGCGCCTGAGTGAAACTATCTAGTTCCTTTTCTCTAGATTGTTTTTTTTTTCATGCATCGGTGTACAAAATCTGTGGGGTAACCTTTGTAGAAAAAATTCAAACAGATAATGTAGCTCGACTCGGTACGTAACATCGTCAGGGCAGCGAGTCTTCGTTCGACGTAGCGGACTGTTGACGGCACCCCTTTTGTGAGAGATGTGTTTGTTGTTCTCATAGTGGAGAATAATTTCTGCATACGTGTCCTTGCGGTAGACGGACGTTTGGAATGTTACGCTAGTTTTGCGCCATGCGAGAACATCTAGAAATGGGAGTTTATTGTTAATCTCCTTCAAAAGCGTGAATTGAATTCCCGGAATCGTTGAGTTAATGATGTTGTGGAGCGTTTCTTGTTGGTCCCATTTAACGACAAAAATGTGTCATCTACATATCGTACCCACAACGTAGGGTTAACTAATGGAAGAACCCTCGATTCCAGCTTCTGCATTATAACTTCGGCAAGGAAACCAGCAATGGGTGACCCCATTGGAGCTCCTTTGATGGTCAAAAGAAAAATGGGTTTCTAGAAAAAGGTCTACGAGTTCAAGCAAGGTAGCTGTGGGAACCTTTGTTTCCTATTTCTTTAGGACTTCCTCTGTGCATGGTCTTGCCACATCTAGTGGTATAGAGGTGAAGAAAGAAACAACGGCAAAGGAGACCACTATCTCATCATCGGAGATTGTGATTCCTCTCAGTTTCTGTAGAAAATCTGTGGAGTTCTGAATGGACATTTCACAATCCCTCATAAGTGGATGGAGTTGACGGAATAGCCACTTAGAAATGTTGCAATTCGATGCACCGATTAATGATACGATCGGTCGCAGAGAAACTTCAGGTTTATGAACCTTGAGCAATCCGTAGATTTTGGCAGTGGTCGCTTCGGGTTGTTTCAGAGACTTTGCAATGTCGCCTGATAGTTGTTTCCTCCCTGAAAGGCGCTTCAAGATTTATCAATAGACGAAATCTGTTTCTTGATAGCGTCTGTGGAAAGAGATTTATAGGTTGAGCTATCCTCTACTAGTGACAGCATCTCATGCGTGTAGTCTGATTTATCTATGATAGCAGTTAAGCCTCCTTTTTCTGCGGGAAGTATGATAATATATTTGCTAGTTTTTAAGTGCCTTCTTTTCTTCAGGAGATAGTGATGAAAACTGATTCCAATCTTCTAAGGCATGGACCCTGCTGTTTTGGACTGTAAACCGATCATCTTCCTTGAGGTCTTCTTTTAATATAATGGACTCTAAACTAGCTAGGCAGTCCAAGTAAGTTGAATCAGAAGGATTTTGGGTAGCGAGTCCTTGATAGGGTACTGATATGTGTACGTTCCAGAACTATCATCTTACAGAGTGGCAGGTTTATAAATGCAAAAATGCTTGCAGCGCAACAAAACAAGTCCATCTTTTCTATATTTTAGGACACCATGTGTAGTCTCATAAAAGACCCCGGTAGGGATTTATCATAGGGCTAGCCAGTGGAAAAGTCTCCTAACCCAAGTGGTTTACGGAATTCGTGGTTAAAGGTTTAATGCTTGATTAACGCGTAGTTAATGCGGGTTTAATGCGTGATAAGTGCACAGGAGGAAATAAATTAAAGGCACCTGTAATTTTTTTACTGAGCCAAGACGTTGGCAAAAGGTCATGACAAGATTAAAAGGACTAAGAAAATTGTAAGAGCAACTCCTATTGGCTAGCAA